TGTCCCCTCAGGCCTGCACTGTCCCCCCACACAGCTGTGTCCCCTCAGGCCTGCACTGTCCCCACCTCCACAACTCTGTCCCCTGAGGTGCTCTCTGTCCCCATGCCCTGGTCGCTGGCACCACCCTTGCCCTAAGCATGCAGCCATGGCGCTGAGGCTGAGGGTTGGCGCCTGGGCGGTCCGCAGGCCCCCTCCTCCTCTGGGTGCTGTCTGAGGACGCCCAGTGTGTGCTGAGCCCCTGGGCACGGTGGCCCRGCTCTGCCGTGTGTCCCGCTAAGCCCTGTCCTCAAGTCTTCCCAGCGGAGCAGTGTCCTGGCCAGGTAGCAGGGCCACGTCCTGCTGAGGCCCCTGAGGCTCCGGTCACCTATGGGCGGACATCACCCCTGGAACGGGCTGGCTCTGTGGGGAGCCTGCCCGAGGCCTGTGCTCACGGGCCAGGTCAGGCACGGTCCTCTCCTGGAGCCCTTGCCCAGCTCATGGTGGGAGCAGGTGCCCACCCTGGGGCCTGACCTGTGCCCTCTGCAGGTGTGATGCTGGCTACATCGGGAAGAACTGCGAGTGCCAGACCCAGGGCCGCAGCAGCCAGGAGCTGGAGGGAAGCTGCCGGAAGGACAACAGCTCCATCGTGTGCTCGGGGCTGGGCGACTGCATCTGCGGGCAGTGCATCTGCCACACCAGTGACGTCCCCAACAAGGAGATCTTCGGGCAGTACTGCGAGTGCGACAATGTCAACTGTGAGCGCTACGACGGCCAAGTCTGCGGTGGCCCAAGTAAGTGGGCCGGGTCACCGACAAGGACCACCGGTGGGGTTCTCGGCCACTGGCCCCGGGAGCCTGAGCAGGGACACTGGGGCAGGACCAGCAGCAGTCCTCCTGWCTGCCAGGCCTGTTTCTGTGTCCATGGGGGGAGGTGAACTCGCAGGAGGGTCCATGGGTGATGGTCGTGGTCTGACCACGAGTCCCATTCACAGTGGGATGGGAGGCCTAGAATGGCAAGTGGCCATGCTGCTGGTGGGGGCCAGGAGGGCTTGCCCAGGGACTATTACTCAGGCATGTGGTTACTGTATCCCCAGGGCCCCGGGGGCTGCAGGAGTGGAGGGGAGGGGAGGCAGGGCAGTGGAGGAGGCCTGCATGCAGACTCCCAGCTGAGGCTGAGCTGGGGTGGGGGAGCCGGGGAGGGGGAGCCGGGCTAAGGCTGCACTGCCCCCCACACGGCTCTGTCCCCTCAGGCCTGCACTGTGTCCCCCACACGGCCCGGTCCCCTCAGGCCTGCACTGTCCCCCCACACGGCCCAGTCTCCTCAGGCCTGCACGAGGGAGCCGGGGTGAGGGAGCTGGAGTCAGGGAGCTGGGGCCAGGGAGCCAGGGCCAGGGAGCCGGGGACAGGGAACCAGGGCAAGGGAGCTGGAGCTGGAGCCAGAGAGSGGGGGGGGGGGGGGGGGGGGGGGGGGGGGGGGGGGGGGGGGGGGGGGGGGGGGGGGCGGCCACCGGGCAGGATGGAGGCTGCAGTGGCCCCTACTGTCTTCCAGAGAGGGGGAGCTGCTCCTGTGGCCAGTGCCACTGCACAGAGGACTTCGAGGGCTCAGCGTGCCAGTGTGGGAAGTCCACCGCAGGCTGCCTGAACGCCGCGCGGGTGGAGTGCAGTGGCCGCGGCCGGTGCCGCTGCAACACGTGCGAGTGTGACCCTGGCTACCAGCCACCCCTGTGCCAGGACTGCCCAGGCTGCCCCTCTCCCTGCAGCATGTTCATGTGAGTCCCCCGCCACAGCCCGCCTCCCTGCCAGGACCCCTGGAGAACACGCCTTCACAGCCGTCCTGTAGGGTCCCAGCAGGCCCCACGTGCCCCAACACAGGCTTGCACCCCATGAATCTATGCACCCTGCACACCCGTAGCCGCACACACCCACACACCCCCTCTGTGTCCCCTCAAGCCCTGTGCCTCCTGCACCCGGCTCACGTGCGCTCCCCTGCAGCTCCTGTGCCGAGTGCCTGAAGTTTGAGAAGGGCCCCTTCGAGAAGAACTGCAGCGCAGCGTGCCCGAGCAGTCTGCTGCCCAGCCGCCCTGGGCAGGGCAAGGCCTGCAAGGAGAGGGACTCGGAGGGCTGCTGGATGACCTACACACTGCTGCAGCGGGACGGCAGGAACCGCTACGACATGCACGTGGAYGAGAGCCGGGGTGAGGCCACCTGCGCCCGGGCCCAGGGCAAAGGCCCTGCAGTGGGAGGGTCTCTCTTCTGGGGGCCAGATGGCAGGCAGCCCAGCTCTGACGGAGTCTGGCCGCCCCAAGCCCGCTCAGCATGCGTGTCCCACAGCATTCATCGTCGAGGTCATCTGTAGGAAGCCCCAGGACAGCAGGCCGTGTGAAGTACGCAGGACTGGGAGACACTGGGTCATCTTGTTTTGCTCAGGAACTTCCATCCCTGGGAGAAGGTGCTGAACCAAGGTCCTGACTGCAAGGAGCCGCTGTTGTTGTAGGGACAGACAGGCAGGGCACCAAGACGGCAGGAGACAGTTTTATTTGGCTGCAGCCAGGTCCAGAGGGCACAGCTTTTGCTGTAATCAATTAACCCCCTGAACCCCGAGTTCAGGGAGTTTCAGAGTTTTATACCCGGCATGTAAGGGGAGTGGCTCAGAAGTTCAGTCTTCAGAAGTTCACATAAAAGCAGCTTTTTCTCTCACTGTTCTGGGCAAGTTAACCCTTCAAGGACCACACCTGAGAAGGGGGGAGCTTCTTCTCCCCTCTCTTTCCTCCCCTGCCAGCTGTTACCATGGAGCCCAGTTGTAACTTATCTTAGAAATGTAGACATCTCTGTGAAGCCCAGCTCAAGGCCAGAGTCTTGTTTGCACAGTTCTATAAACTACTATACTGGATACGTTTGTGAAAACTAGTAAGGGGTGTCCAGCACCTGGAGTGCAGGTATCTTCCCGGCCAGTGGCCAGGTAAATAGGGCGACATGAAAACAGGAAGTTTATCCACATTGGAATCTTTCTCAGGGACTCTTTTGCTGACAGTCCTAAAGTCAGCCATGGTGGAGAGGGCTTTTCTGTGGAGAAAGGGGGTGCCACTTCACTGTGTGCCTTGGCACGTAGCCTCCGGGGCCCGTATCCCCATGGCAGCTGGGCATCTGACCCGCACCTTTGCACAGACAGTTCTCAGCCCAGACACAGCCATGAGAGAATCAGAAGGACCGTGATCCGGACCACCACTCCACACTGCCAGGCCTGGGTGCTGTCCTGTCAGGGGCTGGGTGGGTACAGGGTGTCAGGGCTGCGCTGGGCCAAGGACATGGAGAGTGGAGATGGGCGCAGTGGACAGGGAGAGTCTGGGCTGTGGACAGAGCCTTCTCTGGACGGCACATGGTGGAGGACGTTAGGAAGAACGGTAGGTAGAGGGTCCTGGAGCCCAGGAGACGGAGTGGGCACAAGGGTGGGAGCAGGACAGTCGGTCAGGAGGTATGTTGTGTGACAATGACCAAAGATGTTGGGGATGCTGGGTTTTAGGTATGCAGCACCCCACCCATTCCTGCTGAAGGGACAGGGCTGGGCGGCCACTCAGATGGCCACAGGAAGCCCCGGTCAGCAGCACACGGGACTCTTACTGATCTGAGACCTGGAAGCCCCTCCACAGAGGGGAATGTGTGGAGTCGGTGGGCTCAGACCTCCCTGTGCCCTGCCTGCAGCTCACAGCCATCCTCGGGCCTGGGCTTCAGATCCAGCCGCCCACGTAATGGCCATCTCCGGGTTACTCTGATGGACAGATATGGGCTCATGGTTCGGGGCAGCTTCCAGCCAAATTCCTTAAACTCTGAGAAGACCGCAGAGCTCTCTGTAAAGGCCCAGATGGAGCCACAGAAGTCATTGTTGGGGACCCAGCAAATCGGGGCTTGCCCGAGAGGTTCCTGCCTGGGTTCCATGGCCCCCAGCAGGAGCCACAGCTGCCTTGCCTGCCGAGTGCAGGTGCTGGTCCTGCTCTGGTCACCAAGGACACCTTCCCTGGTGAGCCAGCAGAGCTCAGGAGCCCCCAGCGGGCTGCCAGGCGGCTGGGCCTCAGGGACCCTCCCACCTGGGTGCCAGTGCAGACTCCGCAGGTCCCAGAGTTCAGCAGGTGGTGGCCCTGTCCACAGGCTGGCATCCTGTCCAGGCTYGGCTAGGTCGGCTAGTGACCTGGCCTCGCCTTCTTTGTGAACAAGGGGCCATGCCAAGTGGCCTGTGAGTGTCCTGGCGGGGGCCAGGGCCGGGCTGTCTCATCAACCTGTAACCACGTGATGGAGGGTGAGCCCCACGCGGGGACCTCCATGGGACGAGGCGCTGACCGGGCTGAGAGGACTCATGCTCAGGATGTGTGCTTCCTCAGAGTGCGTGAAGGGTCCCAACATTGCAGCCATCGTAGGGGGCACGGTGGCAGGGGTGGTGTTGATCGGCGTCCTCCTGCTGGTCATCTGGAAGGCCCTGACCCACCTGAGTGACCTCCGGGAGTTCAGACGCTTTGAGAAGGAGAAGCTCAAGTCCCAATGGAACAACGTAAGTTGCTGTCCTTGGTGGTCCCCACGGACCTGAGCTCTGTGACCCCGTGCTTGCTGCAGGCTGTCCGGGCAGGTCTGCACGCACCCTGCCCCAGCAGCCCATCCCCCAGTGATTGCGTGAGCCCGGGCTCTGCCCTGCTCACCCCCCAGTGTTGACCTGGTGCCCGGGGCGTCTGCTCTAAGAATCCACGTCCACGTTCCTCACAGGACAACCCCCTCTTCAAGAGTGCTACCACGACGGTCATGAACCCCAAGTTTGCGGAGAGCTAGGAGCCCTTGGTGAAGAGGAGGCTGAAGGACAGAGCAGAGGGGACCCCAGACCACGTCTCCACCCTGCGGCCTGACTTGGCTTCCCCTGTGGACCAGAAGTCCACTCTGTTTCCCTCTGCCTTCAAGTGACAGAGGTGGCCAGGGGCTGGCGGACTCCTCTTCAGGGGCAGCCTCCCCCCACCTGCTGTCTTCCCAGTGCAACCCCAGAGTGAGGCCTCTCAGGGGGCTGGTGTGGCTCCCTGTGGGGGTGGGCAGACTCCTGACCTTCCCGTTCAGGTGTCACAGTCCTGTGTGTGGAAAGAGCAAACCCCGCGGAGGCCGGCTGTGGTGTCCCTCCTGGCCTGCAAGTCCTGGGCTCTGTGCTTCCTGCTTCCACAGGAGGGACAGGCCCGCCCACCCCTGGGCTGCCCCTCTTCTATTCTTTCTCCCCTGCTGGCCACGCCCTGCAGAAGGTGGCCTGCTGTTGAGCCCAGCCTCAGCGGCTGGCTCCCCCTCCCAGCTGCCAGGTTCTGCCTCCAGCCTCTCTCTCAGCCTCCAGCACTCCCCAGCCCCTCTCTCTAGCCTCCAGCACTCCCCAGCCCCTCTCTCTAGCCTCCAGCACTCCCCAGCCCCTCTCTCTAGCCTCCAGCACTCAGCAGTACATTTCTGCTGCTTAGTTCTCAGGTATTTTGCCACTGCTATAGGAACAGACCAAGGCCCTTATTTGTAAAGGCACATTTGACACAATCACCAAACAATAAACTTAACCATATTAGTGGCACCACTTTCAGGAATTGGCTTCATTTTACAAAATATTTAAAAACAATAGAATGAAGTTGAGCTGTTTTCTGATGAAGCTGCCTCTAGGCACGCTTGTCCTCTGGCCTCTAAAGGTCTGCAGCTCCACTGTCCCCAGGCTGGCCCGCTGGGGGAGCCATCTCAGGTGTCTGCACCCCTCAGGCCCCATTCCCTCCACTGGAGGTGCCAGCCCTTGCCGAGGCCTCCACCCACAGGCAGAGGTGGCGCATCCTACCACCCCAAGCTCCCCTCTGGCCGCGGCCCTTTGGCAGGTGCCCCCCAGCCCCAGGCCTGCCTGGTATCCTGAGGAGGGCGCACACCTCTCCTAGAGCAGACGGCGGCTGCCCCCCGTGCCGGTCCAGCCTCACCCCCAGCCCTGGCAGCAGCACTGCCCAGTTCAGCTTGTGGCCTGCGGCACTCCAGGTGCCCCCCAGCCCCCCAGCCAGCCCCTGCCTTCTGCTCTAAGCACCGGCTCTGAGGCAGAAGCGAGTCAGGTCTTGTATTGTGCATCTGAACCCGCTTGGGGACAGCTGGCCCCCCACTCCTCTCAGGGGCTGACGCCAGGTGGGTCTGGTCTTCCCCGTCCTCATCCAGCCCMGCACATGCTGCCGTGTGTCCATCCGCTTCCCGTTTGCCCAGGACCTGCTCCAGGCCAGGACGGCAGCAGCCCTGGTTCCATCCCTGGCACCAGCCATCACGGTGGTGTGAATGGCCCCTCCAGGACCTGTCCGATCGCCCTTGTGACCTGCTTGACCCAGGACTGACACCAGAAGCTGTCTCTGGCTGACACTGGAAAGGGCAAGCCCTGGCCTCTCTTGCAGCTCCACGGCCGTGTASAGATGATGCTTTCCCTCTTGTTAAAAAGTCACCATGGGCCCTGAGGGAGGCTGGCTGCTCCCAAGGGATGGTGGACAGGCCCCATGTGGCATGAAGCAGCTCCAGAACCCACCAGGAGTGATGGCAGGTGCGAGTGAGCCTCCTCCCAGCAAGAGCTGCTGCCCCTGGGAGCCACCCACCCTCCAGGAGGCACACCCTGCATCCTGGCTTGTCCAGCCAAGGGAACTGGGCTCTGGCTGAGCGTGGCTCCTCCCCCTCCTGGCCTCCCATCACCCCAGAGCCCACCCCTGCTGCCCTCAGGCTGCACGTCAGGCCCCACCCACGGCTCCCCTCCAGGAGTCCCAGGTCTCAGACCCTCACAGGCTCTTGCCCCCTGGCAGTGCTGATGACCTTGGTGGGTTGTCACCAGCCGTCCATGGGTGTGTGTGTGTGTGTAGACGATTGCCCATACTAGTAGCCAAATGAGGGGACAGGCCTGGCAGTGCGAGCTCCCTGTCAGGAGTGATCGCAGGGTGCAGGTGCGCCTCCTCCTCCAGCTCTGGCTGAGATCCCACACAGCACCTGAGATGGGTGGKACTGGCCAAGATGTCAATCCATCTGCTGACCACAAGACATCAGGAAGCCAGACTCCACCTTTGAAACCCTATCCTGGCCTCTGATGTTCCCACCATAAAATAAACCCACCGTGGGCTCAAGCCCCCTTTGCGGTGTGGAAGCTGACCCTTGAGGTCAAAGAGCCGTCCCGCCCCTGATTTGAAAATCATGTCTGTGTTGGGTGATTTCTGGCCSCTGCCTTCTAAGCTTAATGTTGCCGCCAGCCCTGGCTGCAGTGGAGAGTGGGTGGCCGTGCTAAGGCTCGGGAGGTAGTGAGCATTTTAAATGCAACTTCTCTGGAAGTAATTCTCCAACCAACCAAGGAAGGTACTCAAAATAATGAAAAAAACCAGCACAGACACTTCACTACCAAATCAAAACGGGGGTGAAAATCCCCAGCAGGTAGGTAAAGGGCACCGCCCGGGTAGTTCCCTGGAGAGCCAGGACCACAGGGCTTTGGCCTTAGCTAGTGGTGGCCCTCTCCATCTGTCCCAAGTCGATGTCACTGTGACTACAGCAGTCTAGCCCTTAGCCAGCGCTCCTCTGTAATCCCAGACTGCTCAAGGACCCTTGGGTCTCTCTAGGGCCCCCCAGTTTGTGCTGCCTATGAGCTGGGACTCTTCAACCCCAAGGCTGCACGGGGGGCTCCAGACGTGTGGGGGCATCATGCACCGACTCTGGGTGATAAACAGGACCTCGGGCTGTACCCGCGCAGTGTTGTTTTCTTCACTTCTTCATTACTGAATTGTTCCAATGAGGGAGAAAAGACAATCCCTGGAAGCAAAACAAAAAGAAAGAAAAAATAGGAGAAATAATAGGTAGAAAGGCCACAAACGGGGAAGGAAGGGTCCTCTGTAGAATCGGGTATGAGGGAATGGGTCTCTGTGGGGACACCAAGAGGGAGTGTCTAGCACTGACCAGGAAGGCACAGCACCAAMCAGGAGCATGCAGCTGACTCAGGCCACAGAGGGGACAGCAGGCGTTTGAGGTAACTGGCTTAGGTGGATTCCAAAGGTGTTTCTCTGTTTCTGGGAGCACCTCAAGGGGGAGGTGTCAGCTGTTACATCCTTCCTGTCAGTACCTCATGGTGTAGACACACACCGTTGGCTCAGGAGCAGGCCCATCGCGAAGGAACACACCCATGGTGTAGGAGCAGCCCATGGTGTAGGAGAACACCCAGGGTATAAGGGCAGCCCACGGTGTAGGAGCAGCCCATGGTGTGGGAGCAGGATATGGTGTAGGAGCAGCCCATGGTGTAGGAGCAGGACATGGTGTAGGAGCAGGCC